GCAGGGTCTGCTGGCTGGGTGCTGGCAGGCTTGCACCTGGCATGGGCACCGTAGCCAGCCCGTGCCCCTTTAAGGGGTCCAGGGCCGGGATGGGGTATAGATTTTCCCTGGTGTTGGCCAGAGTGGCCACCAGGGAAACCTGGGGAGGGCTAGCCTCCCACTAGTTCGAATTAAGGGGCTACACAGCCCTTAATTTGAACTAGCTAGTTCGAACTAGGCTTAATCCTCGTAAAATGAGGTTTTCCTAGTTCGAACTAAGCACTCCGTTAGTTCGAATTAAGTTCGAACTAGCGGAGCGCTAGTGTAGCGCCGATCAAAGTTAGTTTGAACTAACCTCCGTTAGTTCGAACTAACTCTGTAGTGTAGACATACCCTCAATGAGGAAACAGTGGCTTCCATGGCATCCTAAGTTTTTGAGGGTGACTTTCAAAAGGCATTGTACTTGTGTAGAGCCTCCTTTACATCTTCAGATGTAGAGGATGGGTCTAAGCACCTGATTGATCGTTGTAGGGGAGGGAATCGTAAATGCACAGCAGAGCCCAAAGAAGTGTCACTAGATGATTTCACTTCTTATCTGGGAGTTGGGCAAAATACATGGCCTCACCCTGTCCAAGTCTGGAAGAGCTTTGCTTTCCTATTTGTGGTCTCCCATTGCGGGATACTTACAGTTACTGAAGCTGCTGTTGGCTGTGCGGAGCAGAAGTACACGGACACATAATTGGAAGTGTGGGATCTCATTTGTATGAGCTACCCTTGTCCAGGGGGTGGATTGACCTGGCGGGACACCGGGATTTTCCTGGTGGGCCGTCTTGTGAAGGGCCGGCCGAAGGGCCAGCTGGAGGCTGCTGGAGGAGGAGGGGGATTGTGATGGGGCGCCGCAGCCCCGCACTTTAAATTCCCCAGCGCCACGCGCCGGCCATGTACAAAGCACAGTGGGGCCGAGGGAGCACATGTGTGACGTGCTCAAACACCGCACAACAGGTGAGAGGGGAGATGCCCAGGCGTGACATCACAGCCCGGGACTTTAAAAGTGCTCGGCCCAGAATTGCACCGCACAGCCCAGCTTGAGGCCCGGCACGTGGTCTGGAGCCCCGGAAGCAGCTAGGGCCCGATCACAGACTCCAGCCCTGCAAACGGGAAGGCAGAAGGTAGGTGGGGAGAGGGGGAAAAATAGGAGGAAGGGGTGGGAGAGGAAGGGGCTTGTGCTGAGGGGAAGGGGGCAGATCAGGAGAAGAAAGGGGAAGGCACCAAGGGACAGGGTGGAGGAGAGACAAATGCCAGGGGGTCAAGTGGAGATAATGAGGAAAAGGGCAGGAGGGAGGTGTCAGTGGGAGGGGGGACAGGGTGATGCTGGGAAAGAAGAGGGTAAGGGCATTGTGGGCTGGAGGGGGAGGTGCTGGGATAAGGCTTGAAAGAAGGGGTGGGCATGAGGAAGGCGGGGATGGAGCAAGTCACGTGTGAGGGCACTGGGGCATGAGGAGAACAGTGGGCAGAGGGTGGTGAGGGGGTGGGCATCAGGGAAAAAGAGGGCAAAGGGGGCATGGGCAGTGAGGGAAGGGGGAGGCACCAGGAAGGTGCAGGGGCAAGGGAAAGTGCAGGTGCCAGGGGATTCTGGGGGTAAAGCAGAAGGGCAGACACCTGCAGGGGAGGGACTAGCACCAGAGGAGAGAGGCAGGGCAGGTGTGTAGAGGAAGGTGTTAGTAGAGGGGATGAGGAGAGGTAGCTCACATGATCAGAGTGGGGCTACTGGAGGAGTGGGCACAGGGGGGAGAGAAGGGCTGGTGGAGGGGGCCAGGTCTCAGGAGGGTTGAGGGCAGAAAGAAGGGCAGGAGTCTGAGTCAGGGCAGCAGAGGAAGGTGAAGGGTTGGGGGGCAGCAGGCACCAGGGGAGCTGATGGAGCAAGGGGAGGATGCATGGCAGCAGAGGAAAAAGGTAGAGGTTTATAAAATATTTATGAATAACTTGGGTGCCGCAGTGGCACATCCAAACAAGCCACATGAACTCAGTATTGGTGCACAATACAAAATTCATTTTGCTCATGGGAGGAAACTCTTAAGGTGTGTCTAAACTACAGGCCTCCATCGACGGAGGCATGTAGATTAGCTAGATCGGCAGAGGGAAATGAAGCCGCGATTAAAATAATTGCGGCTTCATTTAAATTTAAATGGCTGCCCCGCTCTGCCGATCAGCTGTTTGTCGGCAGATCGGGGCAGTCTGGACGCGACGCGCTGACAAAGAAGCCTTTCTTCATCGGCACAGGTAAGCCTCGTGAAACCAGGTTTACCTGTGCCGATCAAGAAAGGCTTCTTTGTCGGCGCATCGCATCCAGACTGCCCCGATCTGCCGACAAACAGCTGATCGGCAGAGCGGGGCAGCCATTTAAATTTAAATGAAGCCGCGATTATTTTAATCACGGCTTCATTTCCCTCTGCCGATCTGGCTAATCTACATGCCTCCGTCGATGGAGGCATGTAGTTTAGACGTACCCTTAGAGACTCCCCCAGCCTCTCCGCCCCCGAGTTAATATCAGACAGATTGGGTTAATGTAATTGCAGGATAGTTGCATGAGGGGGGGCTGGTGGGGGTCAAACTAATCCCTATTGGTAGGAGTATGGTGGGAAAAGTCCTTAGAGGGGTCACATGACACCTTTTACTTCTGGTCATGTGTCCATCTTGCCCTGAGTGTGTTACCTCCAGAGGCCTGTCTAATGGGAGTCAGGGAGTGTGGCTAATGGGGGTCAGGGGCGTGGTTAACAGGGTTCAGGGGTGTGGCTAATGAGGGTCAAAGAGTAAATTTTTAAAAAATTCTTTGATGTGACAAAGTGTTCTCAACCCATTTTCCGGGCCTATTTTGATTGTCAGTCCGCCCCTGCCTTTGTCCCTTCAATAGCTCCTCAACCCTTTCCAGGCCAGACTCTGTCCTGATTAGCAATGCCTGTGTGTAGGAGTAAGGGGCATGTGCATGTCTTATTATTGAAAGCCAGGTTCAAGAAAATCATCTGTGTGTATTTAGTTCCCATAGAGCAAGAAATGAATACTACTCCGAAAGCTCAGGGCAGGACAAACTAAATAAACAACCTCATGCAGAAGAAATTACACTTGACAGTGTTTTATATACACACTCCCTGGGTCCTTAGAGAAGGCA